GGACCTATTCTGAGCACTGAGGTCAGAGGGCCTGGGTTCAAATTCCTCCTTTGCACTAGATACTTACAAGTCCTTGGACAAGTCACCTAAACGCTCTGGGGCCTCAGTTTCCTCATCTGAAAAATGAAAGGCTTGGACAAGATGACCTGTAAGGTCCCTTCTAATTCAAAAATGGGTGATGCTGGAGCAAATTTAATACTAGGAGCATCAGTATGAACACCAAAGTCACTCATCCTTTCATTCTGAAAGACTGGCAAGATAAATAAGAAGAAAGATTAAAAATAAAGAAGTTGCAGTCTCGTTACCCAATTTCTTGAATTGTCTTTAGTTTTGAGTACTAGGTTCCAAGCAGCTTTGTGATTCTGCCAGATTGTAAGCGGCTGTGAATTTGTTATGGGTTTCAAGTCTTTCTACTGTTAGGTTTTTATCTGGTTCAAAAAAATGAGGAAAAAAAAATCCCCTGACACAAGGTTCAGATTGCACTAAAGACTCTGGGGCTAATACTGACGGACTGAGAAGACCGATCAGGGCTGATGGCCACTACCCTGGCCCTGGCAACGCTGCCCCTGGCTGTTTTGTTTTGTTCATGGGATGGCAGGGTACCTCCCCTTTGTTGATCGTTCTCTCTTCCAACAATGGTGAGATTATATATTGCAGGGTCGTTATTTCATTTTTCTTCTGAATTTTTGGCCTAGTGCTATTCCCTTGAGGTATGCTATAATCTCTGAAAAATGTGCTCCCTGTCACGAATTAGTGTTTAATTATGGCTCTCTTTGAGTTGAAGCTTTGGCTCCAACAATGAGACAGGCTCAAAGAGCCCTCTCTCATGGGATCCCTGCCCAGGCCTCCATGTTGAGTCCATTCTTGGCTTCACTGATATGTTTTAGGTATTCTTATTATCCTATTGACAGGAAGTAACAGTCAGGCAGTGAGGTGGCACAGGAAATAGAAGGTTGGATTCGGAGAAGGGAAGATAACTCTGGACAGGTCATTTAACTTCTGTGAGGCTCAGTTTCCTCATCTGTAAAATGGGGACAATATTAGCACCTACTTCACAGGGTGCTTGTGATGCTCAGATAGCTTATGTAAGTACTTTATAAATCTTAAAGTATTATATAGGTGCCAGCTATTTTTAATTACTATTTGCCATCCCTTAATTGATGCTGCTTCAGTAAGGCATGCCCTACGACATGATTTTTTTTTTAAATAGTGGTGACAGGTTTAACAGAATCTCAGAATTTGACGGGACCTCAGTGTTCACACAGTCCAACCTACAACTGAAAGAATTCCTTTAATAACATATTGGACAACCAGCCATCCAGCCTTTGCTGGATATATTAATGTGATAGCTGACATCTATATAATGATTTATATAAACACTTGCTAGCTGTGTGACCCTGGGCAAGTCACTTAACCCTGTTTGCCTCAGTTTCCTGATCTGTAAAATAAGCTGGAGAAGGAAATGGCAAACCACCCCAGTATCTTTGTCAAGAAAACCCCAAATGGGGTCACAAAGAGCTAGACATGAGTGAAAAACGCCTGAACAGTATGATTTAAGATTTACAGAGTATTTGCCCATATGTAGCCCTGGATTGCTGAGACCCAAGATCACAGAAACTTTGGCTGACCTCCTTAGGATCACAAAGACAGGATGACTGTCTTAGGATCAGAGACACTTTGGAGGACTTTTTTTTTTTTCCAGGACAATCCCAAGAGCCCTAGGTTGTTGGAAGGTTGAATTTATGTTTTAGTTCTGGTGTTTTCTGAGGAAGAGATTTTTGGAGTGACAGACAGAAAAGGAGGTGCATTGAGAGGAAGACCAGAGCAGATGAGCACCTGGACAAAAAGAGTGAGGGGAGAGAAGACAAGCTCATGGTGAGAGTGGACTTGAGCTGAGATCCATTGTGGTGATTGACAAGAGGAATTCAAGTTAGCAGCTCTTAGCTGTGAGCCCCCGGGCAGCCTTCTCTATGTTATTTAAATGTCTGTCACAATATATCATTAATAATGCTAATAAATTACATGGCCATTAAGAATAATTATCTAAGACTATAAATTCTGATTCTGAGATTGAGTGGGGGGGGGTGCTAGCCTAGGGAAGAAGAGATTTCCTAGGTTTACTCAGAAATGGAGCCTCAGTCCATAAGAAAGTGTTTTGGTAATTTTAGTAATACCCGATTTTATTCCAGAGCATACCCACTAGACTACTTTTGAACCCTGAGAGATAAAGAATTAATGAGATAAGTAGTGCTGAGTATAGTTAGTGTTATTGTATACACACAGAGGCTTAAACATACATTATCAACTCAGCACAATTCTATATGGAAGGTATTAGAATACCAGTCTCAATTTTCCAGATGAAATTGATCCAGTCACTTTCTTACATTTTGACCAGTGATGGCCCTGATCTTTGCACTTTTCTCATCTCCCATAATCCATAAAAAAAAGTTACATCCCACCTCGTATTTTCCTGCAGTTGCTTTATGTTTTCTTTGTCCCAGAGAGACTTTTAAAAAAGTTTATTTTATTCTGAATTTAAGAAATAAAACAAGCATTTCCATAACATAAAATAGAATAGAAAAAAGATGATTGCACATGAAATTGCAAATTTATTATGTACAATTTGCTATTCCTTTTAAATATATAATAAAGTTATTATGTAACTAGACTTTTTTTTTTTAAAGACAGGGACCACATCATATACTTTATAATAATGGATACAGTGCTGGATGTGGACTTAGCAAGGCCCCTTTGATCTTGGATGAGTCAACTTATTTTATTTTTTTTAAATTTTATTTTTAGGCAATTGGAGTTAAGTGACTTGCCAAGGGTCACACAGCTAGTAAGTGTTACGAGTCAACTTATTTCAAGCCTCGGTTTCTGCATGTATAAAATGGGAACAATAACTATGGTACCTACTTCACAGGCCTGTGGAAAATCAAATGAGAATGCTTGTAAAGTGCACTGAAAATCATAAAGTACTATGTTGGCTATTATTATCACTAACAGTGTCCAGCATAGTTCTGGACACACAGCAGATGTTGGGTAAATTCCTGTTGAACTTGTAAGACTGTTAGTTGGCATTATAAGCTGGTTTGCCAACAGGAAGGTAAAGGCAGACTTGGTCTGCATGAAATACCTGGATTGAACAAAGGCGTAAGTCTAGTCCAGGGTAGTTCTATAGTGTTGAAAACAGGCATAATTGACTCTAGTCTAAACTCACAACTCAATCCATCTTCTCCGGCATGGGATACCAGGTCATATCTAGCAGAGACTTTTTTTTTATCTTTTTAACATATCAATTTGCCCAGAAATACAGACTGCGAGCTCTATTTATGAAGGTCACAAGGAATGAGTTTAGGTTGCAACTCGAATCTGACTTGTGCCAACGAAATGGAATAGGAAATCCCTGAACCTGAGAATACTGTTTTGCAAAATTTAAAAAGAAAATGAGGTGGGTTACTATAGCTGTAGTTGAATGTGTTTGTCCTATAGTCCAAACGTAACCAAGCAGTGAAATGTGCCCTAAGGGATTTATACTTTAACATCTGAACCTAGAAACTAAAGCATTTAAGCAGCTGTATCTTTATCAGTGAGTGCTGCTGTAATTAATGCCTTTAATTCCTATAATTAAGATTTATAAAAAGTACCTTAAGAAACATGCATCTTACTTATTCTTAAGATAACACAATCTTGCTTTAAAATGTTCAGATTCTTCTAAAACTCAGATATGAAAACGGGTCTAAGAACAACACAGATAGACTGTAACAGAAATTGAGAGTTCCTGAGGACCTGACCTTAACAGCAAATCTGTGAGAGAAGTGAGTACAGGTACCATGTCCAAAAACCTTCTAAGAGACAATTCTGATTTAACTCTTAGCACCTACCTTGAGAATTACCTTTAAAAAATGGACAAACCAGGGCAGGCACAGAATGGATAAATACAAGGGCAAACTGCATTACTGGTAGAACTGGAAATCAAATTTAAGCACCATGATGAGATTAAGTTTTAACCATTAAATTAGCATGAATAAAGGGGTAAGAGTCTTAGCATTGAAAATTCCTTATCCAGACCTATTTCTCTCTACTCCTGTTCTCTGAGGGATCAGATCCATAATAGCACACTTTGCAGAAATCTGATGCAGTGGGGATTTGACTCCATGTATTATCAGCGATATACTAAGGTAGAAAGGCTGCTAACCTAAAAGTCATAAGTCTTAGGTTCAAACCCTGGTTCTGCCTTTTGCTTATGTGACTTTGGGCCAGTCATTCCACTCCTTCGTACGTTTCCTCTTCTCAAAGATCAAAGTACTGAACTACATGACCTCTCAAGTCCCTTCTAGCCCCTATAATCATCAGATCTCAGACCTAAGCTATAACATGCCCTGTAGAGAAAATCAGGAAAGGACTATTTCAAAAATACAAGCTCCAGTGCAATATAATTTGTCCTTTACAGTCGTATTTGAAAGCAGTTCACAAGAAACTGCCGACTTAGTCACCACACTGTTAAAATCAACTTTAAGGAAGGTAGTGAATTTAACTGCCTGAACTTTTGGCCACATCACATCAAGAGCAGTGTTCAGCACTTCAGATTTAAAGCCAGACAGCCTGTTAAAGTTATCAACGACAACTGAAGTAGGCAGCATTAGCATCATTATCCCCATCCGACAGGTGAGGAAAGAGAAGTACTGTGGAAAAATGACTTGCCCTGTGGTTACAGAGCCCGCATCAAGGCTCTTTTCACCACACAGCACGGGCTAGGGGGAACCATTCCCCCATCCTTATTGGATAAGGACTTAAATTAAGATTTAGTGAGCACGTAACTGTTAAGCCAACATTGTAATCGCAGTAAAACTAGGTCTCTTTCCCAGCAGTAAGTAAAGCAAGAGCAAACGACTGCACGCATCACACATCAAGGGAGGAGAATATGGCAGCATGCTCCTTACAAGTTACTGACATAACACATGTTTGCAAAGAAGCTTTCCAACGTAGACAAGAAATAATAGAATAAATTCATATGATTCATTTATTTTTTAGAAAAATAAGATGAACTTGGACACTGAAGGTTTCAATGTTATATATACAATTCATAAATTTAAATGTAATTTTTTTACCTATGTTTGTGATTTTGAAGATGACAGTAACAATATTCAGTTATATTCCAATCATACTGCATAATATACAAATATATAGCTATATACACAGGAGTAGAAAATGACAGTGAAGCTATAGTCCAATCCATAAGTCCATACATTAAATAAGATGTTCCAAAGTTTTTCTGAGCAGTTATTAGTATTGCACATTTCCTTTCCCTACCTGAAATGACTTTAGTTTAGAAATCGTTACATTTCTTAGGGTATGTGACATACACATCATACTTAATACAAAATTCCTCCACATATTTTCTGATGAGATTATAGCACTTAATTTACACAAAAGTTTATAGAGTAAACCACATTGCCCAAGCAAATGGCCGTAAGCAATGGAAAAGCTATTAGAGTAATGGCAAGTTGATATTAGCTATGGTATTTAAAATTTTATTTTGTCATTTAGGTTCATATACTCCCAACACACAAAACAAATTGAGGGAAAAAAACAGCAAAACTTTTTTGACCATAAACAGCAATAATTTACTGAATTATTGCCTGGCACATCTTATTATATGACATTTTCACTCTTAAGACAGCTAAGTCTTCTTCTGAATTTAGACAACCAGCAGCACTGAAGCAATGTTAACATTAATAGCAGAAACCCGCTGCTTTGTATACAGAACTTGTCCCAAGAGTCTTCAAACAGTTTGATGGGGCAACACCCCAATGCCCTAGACTCATGTAATCTATCCATTGTGATTTATAAAATGAGTGCAAGTCAACGGTATAATAGCTCAAATATGCATCTCTTGAGGAGTGTTTAACAAATCTGCTATAGTCCAGATGAGGCATTCAACAATGAACCTATTTAGAAGAGGGAAGCCATCACCATCTTACACAACAGTAAAAAAGAGAAACAGATGCTTCCCTAACGTATCGCTCCCTCCCAAACAAATAAAAAACCCTACATCAGTGAAGAACTACCAAATTTTCCCAGCAAAATTCAATACAGTTCAGGTAAGGTACTACATTGAAAGTCATTTCTAGTTGTTGTTGTTGTTGTTGTTTTAAATGAGTATCAGAAAAAAGATTTTTAAAAAAGGAAAGTTAAAATTCTAGCAACAGCTCTTCTTGCATTCTTCAAATAAACCTTCTGAAATGAGATGGTGAAGGAAGTGAATGATGAATGAATGAAAAGCACTTACAGTACTGCCAAACATTCCGGTGAAAGGCGCAAAGAGTTTCTATTTTAATGTGAGAAACAACACATACTGGGGAGTGGCGGCCTAGGAAAGCTGTTCTGTTCAGTGAAGTCACGAGGAGAGTCAGTGGAACAACAGAGCAGCTCAGTAATATACCTCAGGTATACCAATGGTAGTGTTTTGATTATAGTTCTCTGACAAAGAGGTGAAAATCAGAGTAGGGTGGGGGAGGGTGAGCATCTGCAGAAAATGGCCTAGATGAAGGTGAGAAAACATGGTCCCCGGAAGATCTGAGCCCAGCAGCGAAGCTGCTCCACTGCGTGGCCTCTGGTGGTCAGGGGCTGAGGGCAGAAGAGCAGCAGTAGCATAAAGTAGATTGATGTTGACTAAACTCAGGGCCGAGCACAAAGCCCAGACTCGTGCTTAACAATAAAAATGCAATTGTTATTTGGCACTTCACAAATAGGGATTGCAAATTAATATAATGATGGCTTTCAATGGGGTCTTAAACCGACGGCAGAAAGCATGGCAGCCCATCACAGCCTCTCCTCTGGACAGCACAAACACCGGCCCTTCAGGTGGCCTGATCGGTGGACAGCGTGTCTGCAGCACCTTTTCCCCCCTGCTGCTCGGACCTGCCAGGATCGGGACATGCCCCGGTCTCCGCCTTGGCAGCCTGCGGCCCAACAGCCGCTTCTGGACCCCCGCTCCCCTCGGCCGCCATTTCTAGAGTGACGCCGTTGGCAGATGGCTGTGGCGCCTCCTCCGGAAGGGCTGTTTGTCTCCTTCCTTCTTCTTCCTGCTGCTGCAGCAGCTTCTCCACCTCAATCTCCAGCTCCAGACCCTCCTCGTCAGCTTCCACTTCCAGCTGCTGCATTAGCGCCTCCAGCTTGCGGGCCTTGCGCAGCTCGTTCTGCTGGATGATGGTGCACAGGTGCTCCGTGAGGTGCTCCTTGATCTCTGTCTTCCGCTGCAGGTCCAGCTTGGCAGCCACGTATTCGCTCTCTGCCTTGTCAAACCGCTTCCTGCGAGCACACGGACAAAGATGAGCTGATGTGTTGTCTGAAATGACGCCACAATCAACTCAAAATGGGATGAGAATGAACAGCTGCACAGATTAGGGCTACTGCGCCTAGGAGTGAGTGGGGAAAAAACCAAACGGTAGACCAATGTGTCTATGAGCTGCTGAAAGCACCAGGATTAATATATATTAATACCGGACTCTTTCTGTACCTCCACCTTTTGTTGGTGTTGTGACAGCATTTCTCTGTTCTCACTGCCCTTTGTGAAGACGTTTTCAGGGTTCCTGAATGTAGCTGCAGGGGGTTGTTCGTGAAGGGCAAACAAAAGGGATGAAAAGAGCAGCAGATGTCTGTATCTAGATTAGAACGGGTTTTAATAAGGGCCAGAGGTCACAGAGAATAGGGAGAGGTTCAAGTGAGGAGACAGGAGAGATAGAAAGATATGGGGAAAGAAGAAGTAGATTGAAGACCAGCATAGGAAAATTTCAGAGGCCAACATATTTTTTTAAAACAATCTAAAATGTCCAAAAAATTAATATGCAGGGCTAATATACTTTCATACTATTTATTACCTTGTCTTTCACCTCAAAAGAGATAAAACATAGAAACAAATCTTATCTCACTTCTTCTAATAACTTTCCCATGACTTAAGTATAAGATGCCCTACTGTATCCATTTTTTTTAATAGTTGAGGAAATTAAGACACAGGCACATTATACTCAGAGGTACAGGCCATGTTAGTGGTTAGAACTGGGACTCAAACCTAGGCAGATTTTCTGACTCCAATGTCATTTCTAGTAGATGATGATACATGGAGCCATCATATCAAATTTATAAATCCTGCATGTAGAACGTACTAAATGAAATGATCACTAAAACTAAAAACCACAAAACCCTCCTAGCTCTAGGGACACCAAAATCATGCTGCAGGTTCTAGAATTAATTTTTAAAAGTAATTAATGCTCTTCAATGGTTTCATAGCCCACTTTTGAAAATAATAAACTAATTCAACAATTATATCTTCAGTTCAATTTTATTCACTACGTTTTATATACTGTTTGTATTCCTCTTCTCTGGAGTAAACCATTACACTGCTTTGGTATTACTTAGCTGACCTCAAGATTAGCAAAATAATATTGTGACGTTAATTGATCTTTTGATACAGAAATTGATGATGTTATTGAAAAAGAGATAACTCTCTGTATAAGAACATAACGTGTCTGACTTTAAAATAAATTAAATGCAAACACTTCGGTGATTCACCTACAGAGTAAGAGCTATTTGGGAACATAGAAGCACAGCTAGCAAAGCTCTACACATCGCCTTTAGCTGAGGGATGCTACAGACTTGCAGGGAAGAGGGGTAGAAGATGCTTGGGGGCTACACAGTCCTACAGGGAATGCCCCCAAAATTCTTGTGCTTGGTGAAGAGAACATTCATAATCAGGGTAAACATATAATCAAGTATCCAGAGAGCTCCTTTAGAAAAATAACTAACATATAAGAAAGAAAAACAGCTACTTCTCCTGATCTCCTCTTTTACCAGGTAATGATCTGAGCTGAAATATAATAAATGAATGCACTGTAAATCATTTTAGGTAAAAAAGATACTAAAAATGAGTTGAGATTATTTCCTTATTTGTACTTGTATTACCAGTACTTGGCTTAATAAATACTTGTGAACGGACTGATTTACATTAAAATCTTAATTTTTAGGGATGTATTAATTTTTATATGCAGATTCTGGTCCATACTTGACATTACGCTTTTCTGTATTATAAAGGCTAAGCTAAGAGCCTCCTCACTGAAAGGAAGAACTAGAAGATGATATATCAGTAAAAGGCCCTTCTCTTTTTTTATATCTGCCTGATGAACCAAACAATAACCACGCAGCCCACCAAGGAAGTACTGAGGGTGCCGTCCCATAGAGGTCATTTATAAGTGGTAGGGACTGCCTTTTTCAGAAGCTTCCGATTGTTCTGGGAAGATCAGATGCAGACAAAGCCACACTAGAAGCTGTTCACGCTGTCACCCTAGCGGCGTGCAGAGCCCAGAAGAGAGAGATCATTTCTGGCTGTGGTGATGAGACAAGGTTTCACAAAGAAGGTGAGAAAGACCTAAGCTGGGCCTTGAAGGAACGGTAGGACTCTGAAGAAGAAAGCATGTGATGTCAACTGAATAATGTGATAAAAGCAATGTATTATTGCTCACTAATCATAGATCCAGATTTCCAGAATATGGTCTTCAGGCCATTCTTTAACAAGGTCTAGCATTCTAGGTTATGTTCATAATTTTGTCTCGACTTCATACACAGTCAAAGCCAGATCTGACTCGGCGACTCCACGGACCACAGGACACCAGTGCTGTTCATGGGGTTTTCCTGACAAAGATACTGAAGTGACTTGCTACTTCCTTCTCCAGTGGATAAAGGCTAACAGAGGTTAAGTGACTTGCTCAGGGTCACACAGCAAATAAGTGTCTCAGGCCGGATCTGAATTCAGGTCTTCCTAACTCTAGGCCTAGTGCTCTATCCACTAAGCCATCTAGCTGCCCCAAATAAAAGTTTACTACCAGTAAATTCAGTCACTGAGGCTTAAGATCGCCTTATCTTGGAATTCTTCCCTTTCACTTCGTGTCTCCAAACCTTAACAGTCACCAAATAATACTGGTTCTATTGTCTTAATATCTCTTGCATCCATCCCCACCTTTTCATTCCACTGCCAATATCCTATTTCAAACCCTTACTACCTTTCTTGCCTAGTCTATTACAATACCTTTTATATTCAAATATTCAAACTTGGGCTTCCCTGAAATGTAAGCAGAAGAAATGAAGGACAGTTCTGAAGTTCCTTATTAACATAGGTGAAGGAGGGACTCCGTCTAGGTCGGGTACACGCACACTAATACCCAGGGGTTAAATTCAGTCCACTTTCTGCCTTGTAAGGCCCTAAATCTAAGAATGGTTGTTACATTTTAACATAAAAATGTATTTAAAATGTGAAGAATGTTCTTGGCTGGTAAGTAGTAAAAAAAAAAAAAACAGGCTAGTAGCTATAATCTACTGACTCTCTGTTCCAAGCAGAGCACCTACTTCAGCCAAAGCACTCTGCAGTGTGTCATATTACAAAGTTCGCTGACTCCTTGCCCACATCTGCCCGAGGAAAGGGCTCACAAAGGTATTTCATTCCATCGTTCTCTCCACCAGGATCATTACTTGTAGGCATTGTGCAGAAAAGGTACACAAGCGGATACGAACTTCAGTCCCAAGAGTTACGGTATGTGAATGTGATGGAATATTACTGAGCTTTAGGAAATGATCAAGGGGATGGTTTTGAAGAAACCTGAGAAAACTTGCAGGAACTGAGGAAAAGTGAGGTGAGCAGAACCAGGTGAATAATTTACACAAAGACAATACTTTAAAGCCAAACAACTTTGAAAACCTTAGGAACTTGTATCAGCACAATGAACAAGTATAATGTGGAGGATTAGCCCTACAACATGCCGCCCATAACCTGAGGAAGAGGTGACTCAGTGTAAAATGAAACATAGGTGGGGTAAGGGAGGCAGAGGGGAAATGGCCAATGTGGATATTTGTTTTGCTTGAGTATACACGCTTATGACAGGGATTTTTCCCACCTCAACTGGGGGTGAGGTGAAGAGAGAGGGTGGAAGGAAAGTAGATTTTTCCTGAATGAAAAAAAAATTTAACCAAAAGAAAACCTAAATCTTGCCTCCAACATTTGCTAGCTGTGTGATCATGGTCAAGCCAATTAGTTTCTCTTTAAGCCTCAGTTTTCTTATCTGTAAAATGGAGATAACAATACCTTACAGGAAAGTTGTGAAGCTCAAATGAGATGATCTGTGCAAAGTATTTCATAAACTTTAAAGCCTGTATGTTTACTGGATGGCCCCCAGGTCCGGAATTCTGTCCCCTCTTACAGTCTAATGGATCCTTCAAAGACCTGTTCAAATACTGCCTCCTGGGAAGAAGAGGTCTCTCCTCTCCTCTGAATTTTCAGTGTATTTATATTTCTCTTGCATACTTATCACAAATATGAATAAAATAACACAAAGTAAAATGAACATCCCCTTCCATCCTCTCACACATCTTCCCTACCTCCACCTCTCAACTATTTAGCACAGAGATACAGCACTAGTCCTGGAGTCAGAAAGACCCAAGTTCACACACTTTATTGGACGAGTCACTTAACTTACTTGCCTCAATTTCTTAAACTATAAAATGGGGATAATAACAGTATCTACCTCCTAGGACTGTTGCATCAAATGAGATAATATTTGTAAAAAGCACTTTACACAACGCCTGGCACACAGTAGGCACTATATACATGTCTACCACCCCCACCACCCTCAATGTCTTGCAAGTAGCGGGCACTTAAACAAGAAGTGCTCTTTTGTGTCTTCAGCATTTTATTCCATGCAAAATTAACTACATCTTTAACTCATTAAGTAAAACTAGTAATACAGAAACTAGTAATATTTTTCAAAGAATACTTATGGGGATACCATCCCCTTTCTCTACTAGCCCCTCTTTCACTGTGGTTTGCCCAAAGGCTAGAACTATGCTATTTCTTACATTGTTAATGTTAAGCATGCATGACACTCTTTTCTTATGTAGTTTTCACAAGAAAGGCTTAAAGCACAATTTAGACTGTTTTTCTGGTAATACAGCAACTAATTACATCTAAAAATATATCAATATTTTAAAAGGCAGCATAGCACAGAGTATAAAGAGCTGGCCCCAGAGTCAAGAAGCCCTGGATTCAATTCCCACTTCTGAGACGTACAGACTGTGTGAACTTGGGCAAGTCATTTAACTTTTTAATGACCCCAGACAACTGTCCAGGACTATTAGGCTGCAGGACGGCTACACTGGGAATTTCCTCTGTCAATGAAATCACAGGTCCAGCTCAAATGAATAAATAAACTGAAATATCCATATAAAGGCTATAATTCATACAAAAAATTAGCAAACTTATTAGCTTCAAAGTACAAAATGATAAGGTTTGATTACTCTATGAATAAATATTGGCCTCCTTCTCTGTGATCTTTCAAGAAAGATTTGTCACAGCCAACACGTCTACGCGTGACCTATACCCATCATCTCCCTCTCCTCTTTATATGCTTGCTCTAACATCCACTTTCTCTAATTTTCAATATCTTCCAATCTACTGGCTCCTTCCCTTCTGCCTACAAATACACATAAAGTTCCTCCACACTTTAAAAAAAACAAAAACAACCTTCACTGACACTACTACCCCTTAAAGCTGTCATTCTATTTTTCTCTTCTCCTTTTCACAGCCAAACTCCTAGAAAAAAGCTATCAGCACACACTGAACCAACTTCAGCCCTCCTCACTTCTCAACTCCTTGAAATGTGGGTTCTGCCTCATAGCCCTGCTGAAGTCACTTCCTCTGAGATTACCAGTGATCTCGTCACTGCCCAATATTCTTCTCAGTCCTCATTCTTCTCAGTTAAAGCACCTGCCCTTTCCTCCTCCTTGATAATGAAATTTATGATTCATGTTTATAAGGCATGGTGAGGTTTGCGAAGTGCATCACACACACACACACACACACACACACACACACACACACACCCCTCTCTTATTTCCCTGGGTTTTTGTGACATTGCTCATTTTATGGTTCTCTGCCTCCCCGGCTGTCTGGCTGTCTCTTCTGGCCTCATTTGCCCATCCTTTATCATCAAATGCCTACTGGATTTTTCAAACCAGATGGCTTGTAGGCATCTAAAAATCAACATCTCTAAAGCAGAACTCGTTATCTTTTTTCCCCAAATCCTTTCCTCTTCTTAGCTTCCCTATTTTTGCTGAAGGCATGACCACCTTTCCAGTGATCACTTTGCAAGCAGAGATATTTGGACTCACCTCTCCCCTGTTTCTTAAGCAGTGGCCCCTTCACATCTGCTCAGTTCTACCACTCCAACATCTCTTGCACCTATGCGCTCTCCTCCACTCACAGAGCCCCGGTTCAGGCCCCCATCACCTCACCTAGACACCTGGAATTGCCTCCTACCTGGTCTTCTTGCCTTCAGATTCTCCTCTCTTCAGTCCATTCCCTATACAGTTGCTAAATTAATATTCCTAAAGCTCCGTCTGATCACATCACTCCTGTGCCTCCAAAGTTTTAATGGCTTCCTCTTGCCTCAAGGATAAAATATACGTTTCTGTTTGGAGCTTAAAGTCCTTCACAAATTGGTTCCAACTTACCTTTCCAAGCTTACTGTATATTCTTCTTCTCACATGCTCTACATTCTAGCCAAACTGGCCTCTTTGCAGCTCCTCACACATAATATTACCCCTCCCCTCTCTAAGCCTTTGAACAGGCTGTCTCCCACCCTCACGTATGTACCACTCCATGTACTCCTTCTTCGTCTCCTCCTGGCAGAGTACATACAGCCTTTACGAGTTAGCTCAAGAGCCAATTCCTACGTGGGGCTTAATCTGATCTCCTCCACTCAAAGAAATTTCTTTATAATTTACTTATCTGTTCCTGTTGTTTTTCCCCTTTATAACTGTAAGCCCCTTGTCTCTGTATTCAGTGCCTAGCACATAGTAGGTGCTTAATAAATGCTTGCTGAACTGAATCTTAAACCTCCAGTTATTATCTTGCTGACATTCATTTGGTAAGTTAATTAACAAAGTCAACTCATGACATCTGATGGCATGTAGTAAGCAAACAAAGAAGTCACAGGGAGAACCACAAGGCTCTTTCTTAAGCACTGAACAGTGAACTGAAAACCACAACCAAGTATTTCCGCTTTATTAAATTGTTCTATAAACATTCTGATGCTGTGGTTTACCCTGGACTAATGAGGCATTCTGATTGATTTCTAGTGTTACAGAGAATGATGCACAACCGAATCATTTACACAGGACTCCCTTGTGAAAAGAGACAAGCTGGAATGATTAAAGCAATGCTGAAAGGAATGGAAGACCCTCAAAATTGAATTTAATTTTATACTCTTTTATCTGTTTGCAAAGTCCGTGTAATTCTTTACATGTGTTATGTTCATTTTATAGTTATGCCACAATATTTTCTTTCTTTAAAAGACAAAACAAAACAAAACAAAAAAACCAACAGCTGAAACCAGGGAACATGATGATATCAAAACAATTCGTGCAGTGTAGATTGGGAAGAAAGGAATAAAACTGTTCTGGGAGGAAATGTTTCAGTTTCAAGTTTCCAAGGTAGGAATACAAATATTTTAAGGAAAAATGCATATTAAAAAAAAGAGTACCCTTCTATTCTTAATCCTCCCCCCTCAAAAAAGGGGTGGAGGTGGGGCAACTAGGAGGTGCAATACACAGACAACCAGCCCTGGAGTCAAGAAGACTTGAGTTCAAAACCAGCCTCAAACATTTACTAGCCGGGTGACTCTGGGCAAGTCACTTAACCCTAACTACGTCAAAAAAAAAATCACACAGGGATCAGTCCCATTAATTAAAATATCTGTTTTCCAATGCTTTTTTTTTCTTTCCCAGAATACAATTTTCCCTATACTTAGTGCTTACCGAGCATAGGAATAGTCCAAGCTTGCCTGATCAATTCGATTCCGTAAGATTCCAATGTCAGCTGATACCATGTCATCTAAAGCCTGTAACTCCTTCTGGATCCGCTGCAGTTTCATGGTTTCTGCCTGCGTCCTTTTAGATCTAGAAAATGGGAAACAAAAAGCTAATTTTGGGTAACATACTCACAATAACATAGCAAAACACATTTGTACTTGCTTTCAGAGTGAGGAGGCAGGGAGAGCAAGCCCTATGACCTCCGATTCACAGAAGCAGAAGAAGTAGCGACCTGAGTTAGGTCGGACAGTTCATAAGTGCAAGAAGTGGAATGAGAGCCAGCATTTGGACAAAGCATTCCAGGCTATAAATACATCAGGGGCTTCTCCACCGCACTGCAGGTTCCCTTTTTTCCTGTCATCACATTATCACAGGCTCAGAGCAAACTGTATAGCATGCCCATGCAAGTGCATTCCTTTTTCATAAAGCCTTCATGAGAAACTCCTGATTTCCTCAAGGTAATATAAAGGATCAATTTCACATTTCCATTCTTACAGTCAAGATTATCTTAATTCCCAACCTAAATTCTCCTTCCTGTTTATAAATCCATTATATTATCTCTTGTCCTAACTTACTAATTACTGAAACTCATATTCTCTATTTATATAATTCAGCACTAGTTTAAAATACACACTCACACACATAATGATTTCCATCTCATTTCACTTTTTACATAGACATTTTTCTTGGAAGAGAACTTCATGTTTTATAAAAAGATAAAGATTTTCCACTGGCAGAACAGAAATCAGTTTTGAGCCTTCATGTGGAAGATCAGACTTCCTCTAACCTCAAGCTCACACAGCCCGAATTCTAAAGTAAAAAACATTCTGAATTCTGTAATGCTCACTCACATCTTAATTCAAATATAGATCTTAATAAGCTTAGTTAGCTGGTCACCTAGCTCACAGATTAGAAGCAGCAAAACAGAAAGAGTGGTAAGGATGAAAGAGGCACCTGTATCAGCTGCAGCAAGGCACACAGATGCTGATGGAAAACAGAAAAACTTAAGAAGTGGACTGCCTTTTGCACATACGCTAATAATGGGCATCATCAGGATGATCCCAGGTCATCATGAAAAATTTAAATTATAATTAGTATCCTTGGAATTATATAATGCTTTTTATAGTTAAAAAGATTTATCATGAACTAAATAATGAACATCAAAGCAATACAACAAACTTGCTTTTAACTATTCATATTTAAGTTAAATTGATTTCCACAAAAATATGCTTTTTGTCCCTTCTAGGTCATCATCAGGACTCTGCTTGTCCACCCTCATTCATGTTCCTTCTCTGCTATCAGAGTTAAAGGGCATTCTTTTTTTCTGGTTCTATTTTTTCACCTGCATTGTTTTACAAAGGTCTTTGCAGATTTCTTTATACTCCTCATTCTTGGTCTTAATTGCATTATAGTAGGTCATTACATTGATGAATCATAATTCACTTAACCATTCCCCTTCTATGGAACATCTACGTTGCTTCCATTTTTTCAGATTTACAAAAATGTTGCCATGTTCATCTTTAAGTAGCTAGCTCTTTTTTGGTTGTTTTCCCATGATTCTTTTAGGATATGTTTCCACTCCACCCCACCCCCACCCCAAAGAAACTAGTGTGTCAAAGTATAGGATTCATTAACTTTTAGTGCATCCAGACAGATTACTCTCCAAAGATACCATAAATACGCAATCCCACCGAAATAAACGATGTTTCTCTACAACCAAGCAGCAGTGTTTTATTGCTTCTTAATTATATTTTCCAATTTTATGGAAACCTAAAAGTTGTTTTAATTTGCATCTCTCTGATCACATAATACATTTTAGAAATATTTCTAACAACTGATACAATAAAGTTTTAATTCTGTGAACTAAAATGATAACCACACCAGGTCTGTTTGTAATGCCCATCTAAGTTGTTCACTTCTGAGTTTTACAACAGGAAACGTTTCATGCAAATGAATATAAAAGTGAATAAACCCATTACTCTTAGTTCTAATCTTCCTTGGTTCTGGTCATCACAGGTCTGGCTTCATCTATGCCTGACAAGCTCTCAAGGCAAGAATCTGGTAGTAGTGGTGGTTTGGGCTCAGACCTGACGTGCTATTAGTGTAGGGAACCCCTTGTGTAGAACCTTCTCCACCAATGCAAACTGGCTACTTAATAAAACTCATTTGTTATTGTTCAGTCGTTCAGTCACATCTGTCTCTTCAGAACCCCCGAGGACCACAGCATCCCAGGCCATCTACCCTCCACTCTATCCAAAGTCTGTCCAAGCTCCTGTTCAATGCTTCCATGACACTTACGATTCACTTCATCCTCTGCTGCTCCCTTTTCCTTTTGCCTTCAATCTTTCCCAACATCATAGTCTTTTCCAATGAGTCTCCACCTTCTCATTATGTGGCCAAAGCACTTAAGCTTCAGCTTCAGTATGTATTCTTCCAATGAAAAGTCTGAAATAATTTTTTTTAAAATGATAACCGAAATAAAGCCTTAATATAGCACTTTAAGGTTTGCAAAGTTAATGTCATCTCACTAGATGAAGTCTCACAACTAAATCGTAGGGAGCTGCCTGGAGAATAGAGGTTAAATGATTTGCTCATTGTTATAGTTAGCAAGTGAGAATGCAACAGAGATAGACCTCTATCCAGGATGCGGAGATTTTGGTTACCATCATAAAATAGAAATATTAATAACATTGCTGGCCCCTAAAGTGACAGTTGTTAAGAAAATACAGTAAGTAAAACAGGCAAGAAATCCATTGAAAGGATCTATATGGTTACAAACATCACTCCTTAGTACATTTCTTACCTTTCTGCAATAGCTTTGGCCAGCAATGCTTTTTTCCGTTTATTTTTCTCTTCCATTAGTCGTTGCTCTTCCTGGAGGACTTCCCAATGAGATTTTTCCTGCCTGGTCAGTAACCAAGAATAAACATAAGTTTAAATAAAAGAGTCCCATCTCCCAAATTCCTTTCCCTCCTCCAAAAGCAATGAATTGGTCATGTAAATGTCCCTTTAAGAGTTCCCATTAAGAGTTTTTAAGAACACGTCTGTAGCTAGTTATCTTATTCTGACAGCAAAGAGGCTAATCAGAAGATTTAAATAAATTGGGCCATTAAACCCCTTATATCTGTGTAATCTATGAACAGGCAACTGATGCTAGGGTATGGTGGCTCATTTACACACTAAATATGGGGCACTAATATATGGCATTAAATTACTGGTGCAAAAGGAATCCAATAAAATGACTTGAAGATGATGCTTCTCACTATGCTTTTTCAACTATTATATATGGCCCTGATCATAGAGGATTCTGGTTACCTTAATATTCATTAAGCAGTGATCGGTCAGTGATCATTAGAACAAGAAATGTGATCCTAAAGAGCCAGTGTGGCTACATCTAGACTTGGTGCTGCCAGACCAGCCTCTTCTCCTTCCTGACAGGTTTGCTAAACTGGTACAGAAGGAGAATGTTATATACGTTACCTATATCTTAGCAAAACTTCTGACTGAGTGGTCTTTTATTATCCTGGAGAAGAACGGTTAGTGAGTTAGCATGAAGGTGGCCAGGGGTCTCTAGTGGAATACCTCAGTGATCAGTCCTTTGCAGATTAACATTTTTATTAATCATCTGAATAAAGATATAGGTGATAAATTCATCAAATCTGCAGATAACACAAAACTGGAAGGGCTAGTAAATACACTAAATCCAAAAAGATCTTGACAGTTTAGAGCACTGACTGAATCTAATAAGATGAAGTTGAAGAGATTAACATAAAGTCTTTCACTTGAGTACAAAAATTAACCTCTTGAGTTACAAGACTAGGGTGGTATGGTTACATAGCAATCTGAAAAAGACCTAGGAGTCATAGCGGACTGGAAACTCAATGAGTCAGCAATGAGATGTGGCAACCCAAAAAGCTAAAGTCATCTTGGGCTGCAGTGAAAGGCATAACTTCCAAGAATAAAGGTTCCACTTATACCATTTTACATTCAAGTCTGGGCATTACCACTGAAGGATGTTGATGTGCTAGAGAGTAGGCAGAAGAGGGTAACCAGGATGGTGAAGGAACCATGCTACATGAAGCCTGACTGAAACAGATAGCTAGCCTGTAGAACGGTATACTTAGGGAGGACCCAGTTATCTCTTTAAGTGTTTAAAGGTCTGTCATGTTGTACAGGGAGTACACTTGTCTCATTTATTCAAGTCTAGAAGGAGGAGCTACTGGGAGATGCTGCAAAAAAAAGGCAAATCTGGGTATGGCAAAAGCTTCCTAAAAATTACAGGTATCCAAAAATAGAACGGGTTGCCTCAAGGACAGAAGTTCCCCCTCTTTAGACATCTTCAAAACAGAGCCTGCATGACCATGTCAGATATGTTATAGTGGGATTCCTAACAAATATGGGGCAAACTAGATAGCTGCGGAAATCCCTTCCAACTCCTAAATTCTGTTATTCTTCAAATTCGTCCACTTGCTAATATATTTCTACAGAACAAAATTCATCCAGCTAAGTACCAAAGGCTGGATGAAAGAAAAAAGAAAGAACCTATAGCAAAGACATGAGCTATTCCACCCAAAACTCTCTTGTGCCCAGTTTGGTCATTAAAATGTACACCATCACGTAAACTTCCTAGGAAAGAAACCCAGAAATGGTTTTCACCTCCCAAGTGTTTAGTTTCCCAGACCTAGTACATCTGAACAACTTTCAAAGTCATGCTTTCCTCTCCAAAACTACAACAATGATGTGGTTAGGTCTAGATGAAGATAATTTCTCACTTAGAGCCAGACTCCTAGCTTCCATCCCAAGTCCCAGCTTTCCACAAGTAGATTTCAACACTGATACCATGGTTTCCTCCTCTACTTATTATTACTCTGAACATACCATATCTATTCTCAGAGCCCTTGCTGGAGGATAATTAAATTTATATTCACTAAGCATTTAATATGTACAAAATATTAGGGACACAAAGATAAAAAATGAAGTATGCTCTCAAAGAGCTTATCTTCTATTCAAGAGACAGAACATGTAAACAGGTAAGTCAAGGCAAGGTCAACAGAGGAAGAGGAGAGCATTACAAAAGATAGGATTGGGGAGAGATGACATCAGGAAAGCTTCAAAGGAAGGTGATACCTGAGCTAAGCCTTGAAGCAACATCAAGATTCTTAGTAAAAATGAAGAAATCACGCATTCAGGAAAGGATGGCCACTAAAACAAATCTGCGGAGGCAGGAGACAGAATTTCAAATTCAGGGAACAACCAGCAGTCTAGTTTGGCTGGGAAAGAGTTACTGTGTAAAGGGGAGTAATATGAGAGAAGGCCAGAAAGGCTTGTATCCAGGTGCTGAGGCCTGGAGGTGAGACAAAAATCCTGAACGTTTTCAAGCAGGGAAGTGACATACATGGTCAGACCTGTGCCTTAGGAAGGTTGTTTCAGCACCTATAGGGAAGTCCAATTGGAGAAAACATAGACTAAAAAAAAAAAAACAAACCAAAAAACAGACAGACCAATCAGGAGGCAATTCTAATTGTCCAGGGGATGGGAACAAAGCCCAAACTTAGGGTGGTGGTCATGTTACATACTTTGGCAGGCATAATCACCATTTGGTTATTTTTACTTACGTACGTTCATGACAAAGAATGGTCCTATTCTGGGGTGGATAATTATGCCCACAATGACTGACACAAAACAAAAAGACATCAACAAAATTTATTTTTAAACTAACGATTAAAAATGGATTGGGCTACCTTGGAAGGCAGCAAATTGCCTGTGCTGGCCATCTGTATGGGGAGGCTCCTGGATGAGCACCTGCTGAGGATATTACAGGGTAGAGTCACGCTTTACCTAGCAGTTGGATGAGATGAGCTCTAAGGTTCCCTCAAATTCTGAAGTGCATAATAATCACCTCTTAGAAGACAAGAAACATTTAACTCACTTAGTTTCATATTCAGTACAACCTGCAAAGAGGCACTTAGTATAGAATTTTTACATAACAGGAACAAGTCTCAGGAAGAGATCAGATAAAAACAATAATCTGGAAAGAGACCCAGAGAGAATGAGACCCAAAATTGGATGGCATCCCATCTCCCCAGGGAGTCATAAATTAAAGAGATAAGAAACAAAAGTAGTGAATGTGCAATAAGGTACAGAGTCCAGATGATCAGAAGCCTTACTTAAGTCAAAGAATAGCAAATTCTACAGGTCTTAGGCATTTATGCTAAATTAGCTGCTTTAGTTCCAGAGACTGTATTTCAAGTACACTTGAAATGTATCATCAGTGTCTGTCCACCTCTTCCCTGTGCTTTTTGCTTTCCTATGCCTTTTCTATTGCCCACAGCTTCCTTCCCATACAGACAGGCCCATTCTGAAAGCTGAAGATTGAGCGGTTTTACATAGGTCAGGAAGCTGACATCCATATTTCTTAGTGATAGGGCGCTGCATGTTCTAAAGAATAACTTCTCCTTCCCACTATATTTCTAGGTCAGAATACATTATAATATAGAAGACATTAAGCTTCAACTTCTCTAACATCCAATGATAAAGGAAGAACAGAGAGAACAAATGGAATCATTTTCATGGTTATATAGATTTACTAACACTTCCACTTTCTTTTTTTCCAATTTACAGTTTGGTTTCGGAGTAACAGTCTCATCTTTTTTATCGGCATTATTATGGGAATTCTCAAGTCCTGCTTTTTTCTGTTGATTTCCAATGTTCTGATGCTTTTCATTATCACCAGATGAGATGAGAAGAGTCGGAGATGGGTGATGCGGCTGAGAGTCAGCTCTCTGTTTAGGGGCAGAAAGCAACTGCTCTCGAGGTACTGATGTTGTACCATGCTGAAGTCCAAGCTTTTGGCTTTGTTGCTGAAGGGGCCTTTTCACGCTGCACCTGTTGTCGACTTTTGTTCGGAGGGTGACGCTTTTGCCGATCAGTGGGATCAAACGGGTCTACGTATAATACAAAGAAAAAAAAATATTTGAGAGCAGCAGATTGTAAATCACTTTCTACTAAAAAAAGGCGACACATTAACACTTCAGTAGAAACCAAATTTTAGATCTCTATTTTTTAATCTTTTATATTGCACACACAGTGGTAAAAACAATTTTCTGGTTCTGTGTTAAACAATATTCATGCCCCACTTTTGGTGCTCAATAAAAATTCCCCATATAGCCAATTCTGAAATTTAACCACATGCAGATTACGTGTAAACCATACTTTATTTCATCTCTGTGAGCAATCACCCCACTAAAGACAACAACAAACACCCTGGGCTTTAGTAGATGTTTCAAGGGACCCTGTAGTCAAAAGCCAACCTCACTTAATGACCAGGCAAGCCCTAATAATATCTTCCTAGCGGTATCTGATTGGGATGTCTTGATCCTTGCATTGACTGAAAAAGAGAAATTCTATAGAGATTGTTGACAAGATCATTCAAACAAAATCAACAGACACTTTGATATTTGACATTAAGTGTGACAGCAGAAATGGGGAAAACAGTAAATTCAATATTTAGAAAAAGTACGCTAGTAAATATGGGAAATGAAGTTCTGAAAGAGGCCAAGGCTTGTAGGCTTCTCAGAAGAACCATTCTCAGAAGAAGATTATACCAGTATAATCATCTCCCCCCCTTTCCTTAAAGAGAGTTAGAGGATACTAGTATAAAAATAGAAGCCCAAAAATAGTATCATTAAAAATGAATTTACATACATTTACACAGAACACACATAATACTAATAGCTAACATTTTACACAATGCTTTAAGGTCTGCAAATGGCTTTATATATTATTTCAACACAACACACAAGTTCCTCGAAACAGGCAAAATTTTAACTAGTTCATATATTCCATATTCATACTACCTCATCTAATTAATGTGACTACCACTCCCTTCTACTTTCCATCTCTCTAAACTAAAATCAGAGGCATTTACCTCATACAGTTCCCCCACAAACTCTATTAAAGGCAAAAATTAAAGATATGTCTAGTTCCTCTCTTTCCTCCCCACTTTGGGACCTAAAACTATGAAACACATAGACCTGTGACAGATATATGCTGTTACTGACAATCATCCCCAAATCTTCTCCTCTCCTTAACTTCCCTATTTCCATTGAGGGTACCCGTATCCTTTCAGTCACTCTAGGTTTATAACCCTGGGTTATAGACCAACATGTTTTGTTGACTATACTGCTATAACTTCTCCACCATCTTTTCTCCATTCACAAAGCCATTATTCAAACTCAACACCACATCATCTCTCCTCTAGTGTGACTAATAATAATGGTGCCCTGACTGATCTCCTTGCTTCTTACCTTCTCCCTCACCATCTTGTATACAATGGTCTATGCGATATTCCTAAAGCAGAGGTCTGACCATGTCACTGCTCTACTCAACTAGGCCTAATAACTCTCAATGACTTCTAAGACAAAATACAAACACCTGCTTGGCAAGCATTTTTTATGATGTAATTTTGTACTTGTATACTGTGCATGTCAATTCAGAAAGACAAGGAAATTTCATACCGGCATGCTGCTGCTGAGTTATCTATGCCATCATCTCTTTTGTTTCTTGATTCCAAACCACACTTTTGAGTGTACTTTTTTTTAATGGAATGCCCTTCACAGTCTGAATCCAGACTACCTTTACATGATCATTACATCATGTAACCATGTTAGTCCTCTACTCAATACACTCCAGTGGCTCCCTACAACCTATGGGATCATACATAAAATCCTGTTTGATACTGAAAGCCCTTCATAACCTAGTCCCTTCCACGTTTCCATTATTACCACATACTCTTCAATCCTGCCACACTGGCCTCTTTGTTACTCCACTAACAAGGTACTGACTGTTACCTCTCTGCTCCAGGCATTTCTCTGGCTGTCCCCCATGCCTGGAATGCTCTTCCTCCTCATCTGGCTTCTGGCTTCCCTTGAACTTCCAACTAAAATCCCACCTCCTACAGAAGGCTTTTCCCAATGGATCACAATTCCAGCACCTTTCTTCTATTAACTATTTCCTCTTTGCCCCTTGTCTAGCTTATCTGTATATATTTGCTTGCTTGTTGTCTCCTCCATTAGAGCATGATTTCCTCCAGAACAAGGATTGTCTTCTGCCTTTCACCACAGGGCACACCCGCCTAGCAAATGGTACACTTACTGCTGACTGACAGACTGGCGTTGATTTGCTTCACAAACTCTCCCATTCCACTTAAACCTATCTACTTGTTCCTCATCCACAACACTCCAATCCGGTGCCTTTGAGCACCCCCATCCCGCATTCCCCAGAGAGAGAATGCATTCTCTCTTTACCTCCAAATATCTCTTCATTCCAGTCCACACAAACTGATCTTAGGAAGATGTGGGTCTGACCATGACATCCTCTTATTCAATAAATTCCAGTGGCTCCCTAGGACCTTCAGGATCAAATATAAAATTCTCTGGAATTAAAATCCCTTTATAATCTGTTCCCCCCATCCCACTCACCCACACACATTTTCTAGTCTTTTTAAAATTCAATTCTATAAACCTTTCTACCTTCCTTCCTTCCACATAGTTACTCCAGCCTCCATGCTGTTCTTCATACAGGTCACTCCACCTCCCCACTTACGCCACTGTCACTGGCTAGCCCCCTGGCCTGGAATGCTCTCTCCTTGGCTTCCTTTAAGTCCCAGTTAAAATCCCACTTTTTACCGGAAGCCTTTCCTGATCCCTTGAATTCTAGTTACTGTCCTCTAAGATTATTTCCAATTTATCCATTTATAATATTTCATTTACACTCAGTTGTTTTGTTCGCACATCCCCCGTTAGACTGTGAGCACCTTGAGAGCAGGGACTACATTTTTCCATTCCTTCCACCTCTAGCACTTGGCACAGTGCCTGGATGGTAGGCACTTAATATAGTCTTACTGACCAACTAACCCTAATTAACGTCACTAGGAATTTCTGATACACCCTCCTCTCCATTTGCATTTATTTCAAATATACTTTTTATTTACACGTGCACATATTTTCGTTTGACAGTAAGTTTCTTGGGGGCAGGGAATGCTTAGCTGTTGCCTTTGTATGCTCAGTGCTTCCAGGAAGTGCTTAATAAAAGCTGTCTACCTATCACCCACCACAGTCTGGCATACAGTAAGAGCTCATTGACCCACTGACCCTCACTTCCTTCAAAGCTCAGCTGAAACATCACGAGGAATTTCTGTTAAGCACCCCTCCCCCATTATTTGTGTTTATTTCACAAATACTTTACTTATACTTGTACAAATTGTCATTTGACAATAAGCTGCCTGAGGGCAGGAAGGTTTAGCTTTTGCCAGGTATGCTCAGCGCCTCCAGCAAGTGTTTAATAGAAGCTCTATCTATCCACCTGGTGTACCTCTCGCTGTGCCTGGCACACAGTAGGAGCTTAATATATGTCTGCAAGAAGGACTCGGCCCGGGCTGGGTCTCCACCAAAGAGTCACTCACTCTCCTCCCCAGGACCCATTCCCAAGCTCGCCCCCTACCCCGGCAGGACCGAAAGGACTGAGACAGCTCCCAGCTCGTTACCTTTGTTCTGCCGCAACCTCCGCAGCTCCTCCTCGGAGAAGCCGGCCCATCCTTGCGCCATCCGCCCGCGCCTCTGCGAGGCTGCCCGCAGCTGCCAGAGCCTTCGAGGATCCCCGGCTGCCAACGCGACCACCCCAGCACGTCCGGCCCTTCGCCGGCTGGGACCATCCGCTTAGCCAATCAACGCGCCGCATTCAGAAACAAGCCCCACCCCATCCCCGGCTCTTTCCTGTTCCCTCAGAGGCGGGGAGCTTTGGATGGCTAAAGCAATGCCTGATTGGATACCTCCAGAGATCTGCGCAGCATACGTTCCCCACAACACCCTATACATCTTCACGTTCCTCCCGCGTCTCATCCTCGCAGTAGTTATCAGTCACAAGAGGAAAGCCTTGTGGAGCTTCGGAATAAAATTGAGCTTGTTAGCAGGCATTTTACTGGGTGACCTGGAGGGGCGGGCCAGAGAAACAGGAAGGGGCGGGGCTATACGCTTGCCCTGTGGTATTTGTGGGGCCCTCGGACTTCTTCTTCTCAGTCCTTGTTTAGCGCACTGTGTTGCCTGGGGTGGTGTTCGGGTTCCTAGGTTCCTTGTTTCAAAACAGCTAGACTTTAACTTCTACGTCTTTGCCGGGAGGCTGCAAAACCTCGTTTAGACTTAGGCCTTAAAAGAAAAAAAAAACCAAAAACCTTCAAACTCTGGGGCTTTCTTTCCGTCTACCCACGGTTCTGCTTGGGCTCTTGCCTCCTTATCTCCCGCTCTCGCTTACTTACTCTCCTCTGCTTTTTTGCTTATTTTGTCTTCAAAATGTTGGACTTTAAGTCATTTGTGGGGAAAGCAGCAGGCATTTCAAAGAGTCACTTCTGCAAGTGTTATGTAATAAAAGTATGTAAAGCGCTTTGTATGTCTTCAAGCGCTATATTAAGTGTCAGTTATTATTAATATTGTTATTGAGTGCAGACTGCCAACCCAAGGCCCTGAGCCGGGATAAAAAGATGGAGAAAGGGCGTAGCCCTTGCCCTTAAAGAGCTAATGGGATAAGCAACAAGAAGGGGCAGACGAACATATAAATAAGCTATACACGGGAGGAATAGGAAATTGTGAACAGAGGGAGTAGCATGAGTGGAACATATTAAGGTCAAATCCAGGGTAGCATGGTTGTTGGAAAGAACTTGGGTTCAACACTATACTGTGCTCACCACCACCTGGATGAGCCATTACCTCTTTGAGCTATTTCCTCGTCTGTGAAACAAGGGGGCACAAATACATGATTTTTGAACTACTAGCTCCAGTCTACGATGCTATAATTGTGATGGGGAAAAGGGGAGGACCAGGAAAAAAATGCCATGAAAACTTTGAGGAGCAGGAAAGAATGTTTCGGATTGGGTGAATGAGGGTATGGGCAGCAGCTGACTCATGAAGAGAGGGACTTCGTAGGAGATGGAAGCCGTAGAAGTTCAGGGCTAATTGAGCCAGAAGAATGTCTGGAAAAAGTTTTAGGGTCAACTGAATTGCTTTTATTTTATTTTTTATTGGAGGGAAAATGAGATGTTAAAATTCTCAAAGTATTTTATTGGTCTATCTTAATAGGCTTTCATTAGGGCTAATAAGAAAATTTATGTCATCTTTGATACCTAGCTATACAGTGATATGTCCCCATGTTTTTCAAGTCAGTCTGGTTTTAAGGAAATAAGTTCATTCAAAAACACTGATTAAGGACCTAGTAAGTTCAAGACACAGCTGTACAGAGATTCTTGTTCTCTAGTAGTCTTTAGTTTATGGGAGGTGAGATGTAGGCATTAGATAATTTCTTCAAGAGAGTGAGACTTGAAAGGGAGAAGACCCAAGATCACTATAAGAAATAAAGGAGGGAGAGATCTGAGGCTTTGCCAAATATGTGGTGTTTGTCAGAATACCTTGTCTCAGTTTTTAGTTCAGAGAACATACCATCTAAATGACAGGATGAATAACACTATTAACTCTAAGGAATTACATTTTTCATTACAGTCACTTCAGCTTTTTTCAAGTATTATTTACAGAGGATTTCACTGAGAACTGAAATGCAAGAAACTAAAACGAAGGAACAACATATAAATGATATTTTTTTCCCATAACCTCTATGAACCCAAAAGAATTGCTGTTCTAGGCCACATCTGATGAATGAGGGTAAAGCACTGGCTGAAAGTTTTTCTGCATTTGTTTCATTTTTTTTTCAAATCAATAATTTTTTCTGAAGAGTAAGATCCTTGTCTAAGCAAAAGCTTCCAGCATTAGTATATAATAATTCAACTTTTAAAATAAAAAAATAACTATTAAGCACCTAGCATGTATATGGCCCTAGACGTGGCATTTGGAAATTTTCTGATGGGAGAGTACATTAATTGAAGAGAATTGGAAAGACTTGGAGGAGGAAGTAGCAGCTGAAGTAGTCCTTGAAACTACCCCTTCCCTAAGGAGGAGATGTGAGGAGAGAGTGAATTCTGGGAGAGCCTGAACTGCTCCTTGTTTTTTTAAACATGACATTATTTGGCAAATTAACAAGTTTTTAAGGCATGAAGCTATCAAGGCACTGATTTGTGTTTATTAAAAATGTCCCATAACTTAAATATAGATCCTTTTGGAAACAACATCTGAGAACCTGGGTTCTAACAGATCACACTAGGTCTAATGGGAGGCATTGGGAAAGATATGGAAATCTACTTGCTTACTGTGTAGCTTGTGTGGTACTCTGAAGGGAATATCATGAGTAAAAAAGTGTGATGGACTTGGAGTCAGGAAGACCTACATTCACATCCTCAATGCTTCCCTCGTGTAACCTTTGTAACATCATTTAACTTCCCTTAGCTTCATTTTCCTTGTCTGTAAAATAGGGATGATCCTTGCAGTATCTGCCTTACTGGGTGGTGACAAGGAAAGTGTTTTGCAAATCTTAGAGCTATAGAAATGTATTATTTCTCCAGGCATATTATACCTTGCATTAAATTTCTTTCTCAGAAAGTAACATGCTTGGCTGTATCAACTCAATCCCATATAGCAATGGTTTTACTGAGTTTGGCCTTTTGAATGAGTCAGTATGAGAATTCTGTTCACTCTCATGAAATACTAGTTAAGGGTATTGTCCATTCATAGTTCTTGTGGGAACCATCATGGAACCAACTGCATTATTCAGCACTAGGAAAAGTTTTTGAGAAAACTGCTGTATTGTCAGAAAAAGAAGTTTCACTTTTTGTCTTATGTTCTGGAAAACTTAGCCAAATCTGGTAATTAGCACAACCCAGGTAATTGATGACCTCTGCAGCTGTTTATTTTGGATGGTCTTCTGTTTTATTTGTAGATATTTTTGTGTTGTGTTAATTTGGAAACTATCTTGAGCCCTCTTGGAAGTAAGTTGGCAATATATTTTAAATAGCAAACTATTAACAATTTAATTAAACAATTATTTATTAAGTATCTAGTATGAGTCAGGCACTTCTAGGCTCTCCATATAGAGACAAAAATGAAGTTCCCCATCCTCAAAGAATTTACATTCCATAGACCTGTCAAAAAGGACTTTTGTTAGCAGATGTGTTTCACATCTTGATAAAACTGGACACGTGGAAAGCCAAACTTCAAAAAAGCAAATGGGAACATTATAGAAGATTTTTTTTCCCCCCTTAACAGATTACTTAATATCTATTTCCTTTAAATAGTGAATCAGTGCTTTAGAATAGGATTCACATTATAAAATTTTTATCCAGACTTCAGTAGCAAAATGTCATATAAAGTGAATGCACACTTTTTTTTTAAGTGAAATGAATGATTAAGCTAACTTTTTCTTTTGCCTCTTACCTCAAACACTAAATAGCAAGGGAAGAGCTTTAGCCAAAAACTTACCCCTTATTCTTAGTTTTTTTTTCTTAGTGTGAATACTGGGAATAGGTAAGCTTTCAAAAAATTGTTTTCTGTAACATCTTAATACTCAGAAATGAAGGATGTAGAAAATACAAGATTCCACAATGTCTGTTGATTGCCTAGAATTAAAAACAAGATGTAGAGAAAAAAAATAGCCCAGTAGTACTCTCCTCCAACAAGACATTTCCTATGTATGTGTTAAAATTAATACATAAATTTCTTATGAGATCTAAGGCAAACATAAATTTCTTATACTGTTTCTTGCCCAAGTATCAATTGAATTACATAATAGATACCAAAGGTGTTAAATAGTACATCTTCTATCATGCCATCACAATCCAAGTGGAAGGAAGATTTATTTTTCTTTTTTTTTCTTTTTTTCCCAATTTTATTAATTTATTGATTTATCAACAATCACTTCCATATGCTTTTGAGTTGAAAATTTTTCTTCCTCTTCCTCCCCCCCCAAGACAGCACACAATCTGATATAGACTTTACATTTACATTCCTATTAAACATATTTTCACATTAGTGAAGTTGTAAGTAAAAATTAAAACCAATACGAGGAACCATCAGAAAGATGAAACAAAAGGTAAAAATAAGTGAGAGCCATTCGACTTCCATAGTCTTTGTTTGGATGTGGCCAGCATTTTCCATCCCGAGGCCTCTGCAGATGTCTTAGATCCTTGTAGTGTTAAGAAGGGTTCAGTTTAACAATATTAGTCATATAATGTGGCTGTTATTATGTACAAAGTCCTCTTGGCTCTGCTCACTTCACTCAGCATCAGACCATATAAGTCTTCCCAGGTTTTTCTGAAGTCAGCCTGTTCATCATTTCTCATAGCACAATAGTATTCCATTACATCCATATACCACAACTTGCTCAGCCATTCCCCAATTGATGGGCATCCTCTCAATTTCCAATTCTTTGCCACCACAAAAAGAGCTGCTATGAATATTTTTGTACATGTGGGTCCTTTTCCCATTTGTTTGATCTCTTTGGGATATAGCCCTAGAAGTGCTATTGCTGGATCAAAGGGTATGCACATTTTTGTAGCCCTTTGGGCATACTTCCAAATTGTTCTCCAAAATGGTTGGATCATTTCACAACTCCACCAACAATGTATTAGCGTTCCAATTTTCCCACATCCTCTCCAACATTTATCATTTTCCTGTTTTGTCATGTTGGCCAGTCTGGTAGGTGTGATGTGGTACCTCAGAGTTGTTTTGATTTGCATTTCTCTAATCAATAATGATTTAGAGCATTTTTTCATATGACTATAGATGGCTTTAATTTCTTCATCTGAGAACTGTCTGTTCATA